GTTGTCTGCAGCTGCACACCCTGTCTGTGTAGGCTATTACAGGACAAAGCAGACCTTGTGAAAATGCTAAACGGGCCAAGTGATCATCTCAAGTTGTAGGCCCCCTGTCTCTGCAAACTATTATATGACAAAGCAGAACTTGTATAATGCTAAGCAGGCTTATGTGAAGATGCAAAACAGGCCATCTGGTTAACTAAAGATTTAGACATTATGTCTCCACAAAGTTCTAGCAGACAGTTCCTACTCAGTAGTTCTTGACAATCATCAATACAGTTGTAATATATATAACCAAGGAAAATAAAAGGTATGAAAAGTAACTAAAGCTTATAAAATTCAAATATTATAATTCTTTGGTTCACATACAGTGTCTGCAAAAAGGCAAAGATGGATGTGGTGATTAACCTTCTCAACCAAACACATCACTGTTTATAGCTCATTTGCTAAGCACAGTGAGTTATGGCTACAACAACTTAAACAAAGAAACAGCTTGTCCATGGAAATCATATTATTGTGTGTAGGGCATGACCTGAACACCACAACACAATCTCCAGAAGGTTAGCAAATTTATTTATTTATTTTTTTCCAGTGATTGTAATATGTTGTATATACTGTATATAGCATAAACCTGTGTTGCGTTATTGTCCTTCTGGGCTTCACTTGTATTACCAATAAATAAATTAAATATGAAATAAAAGTTCTCACTTATTATATCTGGCCATTTTCAGTTTCAGATATCACTCTCTGAAATGTCACCAACATGATGCAAGTTAATGGAGTGTAGCTTACTGCATGGTACACTGACAATTTATATGTGTTACTGGAGACATAGTGTGGGCTGTGACATCCTCATTGGACAAAAATTCCACCTCCTCACAAATCCCCGTGTAATCCCTAAAAATATCAACATTGGCTCTCAGTTTGAAATGATACAGGAAGAGCTGTCTCACATTTCAGAGTTTTGCCATTGCTTCCAGCCTTCTCCCTATGTGGACTTCTTCACTTTTTAAGCAGCAATCACTGTTGCTACTATCCTTTTTATTATGGCCATTAGTGGTCATCTAATAATATCCTGTAAGCCGGTACTGATGAAATACACCTTCTGGCCTACTGGTACTGTATGTGAAGTTTGCCCCTACCAAAGCATCATTATGGGCATGATAACAACTGACAATGGCCATTTAAGGCAATAATAATATTCAGGTTTCAAACCCTGTTGCATCACACACGTAGTCATTGTTTATATTATTATATTTTTACACTTTTCTGCTTTAATTATATGTAAGAAGTGAATGCAAAGTAAGAGCCATGCATCTATTTTATAAGCTTACATTAAAAAGTTGCAGTTCAGACAGAGTATGCATGTTTAAGGCTTTTGTGTTGTGGTTTGTCTCACGACTTCTGAATCTTAGCAGTTACTTTAACCTTGATAAGGGAACAAATGCAAAGACTAAAGTCAAGGTACTGTAGCTTCAACAGACATTGCTGTGTGTAAACACTTCAAGGCATGTACTTTGTCAAAAACATCCAACATGGATAGAACATTGGTGTTAAATATTGTGGGTATTACATAATATGTGATATTATGTCTTAACAGTATATAAGTGGAAGCAGGTAATATGTTTATTAAAGTCTTATTCACTGAGTTAAGTCATGGAAAATTCTATTAAATCCAACTCATTGACAGCTGTTTATGTTTAATGCTTGTTTATTAGTTAGTTGCAACTCTACCCCCTCACCTCTCTCCACTGATGAGGCTACAGTATAGAGCAACGTATATAACTGTGTATTTGAATACAAATAAAGTTCCAGGAAGCAGGTTATTATGATAGATGCAAGGTTCTCATTCCCTGGAGAAACTGGAAGATTGTTATTGTTTTTCTTATTCAACATCACTGGTAACACAACCACTAAGAACAAAATGTAGAAATTTTCTAGGACGCTTTGTACCCTTTGAGTGACTCTCGCTCTTTCACACACACACACATCACACTACAAGTACAGTATACACACACACACCTCACCCCAACAAAGGTGTAGCCTATGTGTAATTATTCTAATATTGCTGCAGATATTTAAAGGTAGAGAGCAAGAAGAGAAGGGAGTTGAGGAAACAGAGAGGTTAACATTTGCACAAACAGGAGTGTGTGTGTGTGTGTTTTGTAGTGGCTAGACTGTAAACAAAAACAAAAAAACAACATATTGCCTGTAGGCTGTTTCCATTTTGAAGTGATGTGCAACTGAGAAATTGTGCATAGAACTGTTTACCTAATCATCAATGGTAAATGGTCTTATACTTGTATAGTGCTTTTCTACGCTTTACATCACACTCAAAGTGCTTTCACACTACTTGGGCATTCACCCATTCGCACTCTCAAATGCTCACACATTCACACACCAGTGTTATCACTGGGAGCAACTGGGGGTTCAGTGTCTTGCACTTTGACATGTTGACTGGATAAGCCAGGACTTGAACCACTAATCCTCCAGTTAGGAAATGATCTGCTCTACCTCCTGAGCCACAGCCGCCCCCAATGCATTTTTTCTCCTCTGGGTTTTTACACACTGAGTGACCAGACAAGTAAAAACCTTTGCACATTGCAGTTGGTTAATCCAGGAAAATGCAGCTGCCAATAATGGTCTAATCAGACCAGTTTTCACAGTTCTGTTGAAAATATTAGAACTGAAAACCTCTTTTAGCCAAATAATGCAAAAGTGATTCAAACTGTGTTGTAACTGTGATGTGAACAATTTTGTATCCTACAGCCCGTCTTATCAGGCGGCTCTTGTGAAGTGTCTGTGTAGGACTGGAGACGAGCCATAGCAGCCACATGCCAGTCAGCATCTGTATCTATTATTTATCTATCTCTGATCAAGCTTCTCCAAATGACCATTTTAAAACTCTCTCTAATTTGTGTAATCCTCAGGAGTTGTTGGTTTAAACAACTCGCAGCACTCCACAGCGGGAAACACTGAAGTCACCATATGGACTAAATTCAGAATAAAAACTAAGCAGGAGCCAAGTGACAGGAACGCTGTCACACCTTCGATCCTAAGAGAATCCTTAAATTATTCTGACTCAGTGGAATTTAATTACGGCTGACTTGCATTGTGTACTCATACTTTACAAAACACATTTTACTTTAGCATAGTTTTTTTGAAAATCAACACATTCAGTCAGTTTTTGCAGCAAAAATACAACAGATCTCTGAGAGACGTTAGGATAAGGTTAGTGTGTGTCTGAGTGAGAGAGACAGAAAGAGAGAGAGAGAGCTGCTGCGGTTTGATTAAATTAAAAGGTGTGCTCAGATAAATGAAGTGAGTAGTTGATGTGTACAGAGCAGACAAGTATTAATGACTCCGAATAGGATGGGGAGACCCCTGTAATAATCCATTCAACACTGCCTGCCACAGGGAGGAGGAGGAGAGGAAGAGAGAGCAGAGTAATTGCAGGGCGTCTGATGTTTGCCTCTGATGATGACATGGGCAGAGTGAGAGGCTTGATGAGCTCACAGTGAGTGACTCACTCCTGACTGTAAAATGTTGACTCTGAAGCCTCTGAGCAGTCACACATCCTAACTGAACTCTGTGCTCTAACCATAAGCAAACAATACATTCATTCACAGACTTACGTAGAAGCGCAGCTCCACACCATGCAGAACAGCCCAGCTAGCTATGCCCAGGTAGCCGGTGTGGAGACGTAGCTTAGCACAAACAA